AGAGAACAAGCCTATATATGTGTAAGAATAAGAACAATCCTGGTGCTCTGGGAAGCTAATTGATTTAGAAGTTTGGATATTTTTATTTTCTAGTGCCCTAATACTGTCTTCTTGTATCTAATTTGCTATTATATTAAACTCACTGAATGAGTTATTAATTCTAGATGTTATTTTTCATTTCTAAAATGTTCATCAGCATCGTTTTAAACTACTTTTAGATTTTTTTTAATGGATTAAATTATCGGAAATTTTTATTTATTTCTCTTTTTTTTTTTGTCTACTTCTTCCTTTATTCTCTTGAATAAAATAATCAGTTATTTTAAAGTCCTTCTCTGATAACATCAATATCTTATCACCTATGGGTTCTTTCTATTATTTACTTTTTCTTATGGTATTCAGTCTTTTGACCTGTATCTTCTTTTTCTGATTGGATTCTAGACATCGTGGATAAAAAGAATTATAGACTCCTTGGATGATGTTATCTTCCTCCAAGTGGGAATTAGGCTAAAAGTCTTTTGGCAGGCAGATTGAGTACCAGCAAAGACCTCATTCCTTTTAAGACTTGGTTTTAGGCTTTTTTTTTTAGAGCAGGTTTATTGCAGTTTTGCCCTTATTCCTACAGTATGGTCTTTAATATTAAGGGGTGTTCCTTGGAGGGGGTCACTATAGGCCTAGGCAGGAAGATAGTACCAAGGAATCTTCCACCTCAGCAAGGCTCAATTCCAATCTCTGTCTCCTTAGCATCAGAATAGCGCCGAATTCTCTGCTTAGTCCTTTATTCTCCCAAATTCAAATTTCTGCTAGGTTGCTTAGAGTCTCCTCCTGTGCATGTGCAGTTTAGAAGATGGCCAAGGACCTGAGGGCAATGTATATGCAGGTCTTTCTCTCAAGTTTCCTCCTCTCTGAGATTTTTCTCTGCATGTGCTGATGACAGAATACACAGTTTGGGAGCTTGACAGAGCAGCAGTCTCTGATTCAAACAGGTGTAAGCAGCCTGTTTCAACTATGTGGCTTATGGCTTTAAAAAGAAGAGGAATTGAACATTCAGTGATAGATGTAGGCAACTGAGGAAAAATGGAAAGTCAATTTTGTGAGCTATGAATGTACTACTTTATTAGGTTTGAGAAATTCTAAACATTTTCTCACTATTTCAGCTATCTTACCAGGAACTAATGGAAAGATTCATATACGGAAGGAGATAATATGTTAATATAAGAATAAACAATGGAAGCAAAGAAAAGCAAAAAAAAAAAGAGTTCAGTAGAGTCTGATTCCGTTTTTAATGTTTAAATGCTGAAAACTTTCAAGCCCCATCAGTTAACTTTACCCTTCTGCCTTAAGTTTTAGAAAACATGGGTGATAGATACTTCCTTTGGCACCAGAAGAAAATTCAACCATGCAAGCCCAGCCCAATGTTGAGAATCTTCATCCTAAACCCATCCTGTAAACCTGATAAAAAACCAAGCCAGTCTCCTTTCCTTGTTCTCTCAAGTCATTTTCATACTTTCTGCTCTCTTCAGAAAGCCTTATTATGTGAGAAACAAACTTTTTCATATCCTATTGACAAGTGTGACATCATCATTCTTGACATCTGAACCAAATTTTGGGTGGAAGAGTCCATCCTGCCTCTTTAGGATGACCAAAACAAAAGGAAAGCCATTTCCCAATAGATATTAATAAGTAGGCATTGTGATCTATATAAACAGTTTTCCTTTGTCAGCTTGAGTGAAAAATCTCAGAATCTGATCAACTTAGAATCATTGAAAACAAAGAAGTTCTGAATCTGCATACCTGAAGATATTACCTTATGCTGGTTAGAGAATTAACCTAAAAAATAAGATTCTAATCAGTTTTTATCCGGTTGTCTTTCTTGTAACAACCCCAAACCTTCTATTAAGCATTTCTTTAGTTATGAGATTGTGTTTTAAATGACTAACAATGATATCTGGAAATTAGATATTTATCAACACAAAGTAAAGTATTCAGTTGCTAAGTTTCTTAGGTATTTATTTCTTAGGTATTTGAAGTTGATTGTTCCTCTTTGGGACACCATTCCATAGAAGATAAAGTTTTTAACTCAAACAAAATATGATTCCAAGTTAGAAAATAAAAGTATATTAATATAATCTCATGTTCCCGTTAAGGAAAGAAACAATATGAAGCATAGGATAGCTGAGTTCTAGATACAATTTGTAAATAGGAAAATAACTTTGAGACTATTTTTTCCCTAGAAATAAACTTTTAAAACATGTACGCAGATTGTAGTGTTTTGCAAAGAATTTTTAATGGCATAATATTCAATTATAAAAGCAATAAC